TATCCGTAAGTCTTGTTTCTTACCGAATCCGAAATTACATTTTTTCGTTTCAGGTGTCTGCTCAAATTCTATTACTGTGGAACTAAAGTAAAAGAAATGTTTTTGACAAATGTACTGTCAGCAATAAGGACTCCAATTTCATAGTTGTATACGACTTACATAAGAAGTATGTTATTATTATAATATCCAGTGTTTACGTAGCTCGTACATATTAATTCGATTGCTTTCACAAATTATTTATTAAGAAACTTGCTCGAGCAAATTATGCGAATATTAATTCTCCTTGACTATAATATTTACCTATCGTAGTTGTTATCTGGTTTAAGTGTTTTTTACAAATACATTTACTAAATGAACCTGGGTCATCATCATCATCCTCCTGCCCTTATCCCACCTATATGGGGTCGGCACATCATGTGAATTATGTTGTAAGGCCACGTTTTTTACAAATGGCCGCCGGCCTTACGTCAGCCCTCCTTAGATAAACTAAATGATCCTTAGCTAATACAATTTTTTTGAACTCTAGACAGACTTTGCTTATATGTAAGATTATACTACATTACAATTATTACCACCAAATGCATTGAGGAAAAACGAATGGTTCTATTTATAATTCTTTGGTCAAACTTAATTCATTTTATAAAATTTTATTCACAGACTTTGTATACTGTGCGAGTGTTTGACAACTTACTATTTATTATGTGACGTTTACAGTGTCAAAGCTTAGATTATATAGCTATCGAATCTGTCGTGAGGTGACTAAATTAGAAATCAAAAGATACCTTAGCATTTTTCTAGCATGATTTTGAACTAGACGTATCATAAGATGAACAATTTATAACTAGTAGTTGTCTAGTACGATTAAATAAATTTATTATTTATTAGACGACTTTATTGGCCTAATGAAAAGTGGCCTTGTCTTGCGTCAGAGGGCGTGGGTTCGATGCCCACTACTGGATAAATACAGTGTGATGTACACAGTATTTTGTTTCAGTTATCAATAATATATATTTATTTACAAAAAACGTATATTTAAGTATATCTGTCAATTATCTCCATAGTATAAGCTTTGCTTAGTTTGGTTTAATACTAGATAAAGATAGTCTAGATCTTAAGTAAATATGTCTTGAATTGAAATATATATTATATATGTTTACAAATCAATGTAAAAAGACAGACAAATGTTCACAGTACAATCATTTCCTCTTAGAGTAATATATCGATCGATTTATCCTTGTTCTTTACGTAGATTAAGGACGCATGTAACTATGGCACTAAATCCCTGTAAACAAATCCTAGTGATTTGAATCCAATGACGCGTCAATGGCACTTTCCTTGTTTCATTGACCACATAACGTGTTATTCTATTGTGCAATTGTTATTTACTCAGTTAATCTATGACGTTAATTCGCAAGCAACTCGTTTTGTGTTGAATTATTACATTACGTATTAATTTTGTCATCATCATGTACAAATTTTGTAACAAGTAAGTTGCACTGATATTTCATTAATAAATCATTTCATTAATTTACATTATGATGACCAAATTGTTTTCCTATACAATTAATGAAAAAATGTTTTCCCGTTAAATATAACTTTGTATATACATCAAAATGGTGCAAAGTGATTTTATTTACATATTCAATTTGTATCAGCAAAGTTTCTAAATCATTACTGATCCATCATTCGTCATAGTGTACTGTGTAAGATTTATGTAGAGGCAATTTAGACTTCTCTCGATTCTTCATCAGGGTATTACCTGAACCTTAATATCTGTCTACAACTGCAATTATTATGCGTAAAATATGTACATAATCAACACGTTACTATCTTACGACAACTTTTAAGCTGAACAGTAGGAAAACGATTGGTAACAACTCTTTATGCAGTTTATGCAATACCCAACAACAATGTTTTCCTTCTTCAATCCAAAGTGCAAATCGTGTGCGAATTGAATCAGATGACTCTGGTGCTGTAGTACATTTTGCAGGATTTTTTTTAAATTACTCAAAACCAGGCTATTCTTGACCACAGTACCTGGTGATAATATGTCTGACTCTTGCCTTAAATGTTTTTTTTTCTTTTACATGAAAAATATTTACGATTTGCTGTCCATGGACATCTGTATCACCTGAGGCGTTGCAGAAGTTAAAAAAAATATTTATTTGTTTATCGCGGTTACAAAATACAAATAAAAAAATTGGCTATTTAATAACAACGGAGCACAACATTCAGTTAAAATATGCTATTTTAATAACAACATTTATCACCAGAAGTCGCGTTTTTATAATTAACGCTATCTTCGTTTTATATAACCTTTTAAAGTTTTTAAACATGACAATGCAACAAATCCAGTCGCCACATACGGTCGTGATAAGCATATGAACGAAACAGTTTTGGAACAAACATAAATTGATCCTACCCATAAGTAAACTGCGTAGAATTAGTGACTCTTTTATGTATACGTTTCTACAACAAAATCCCACAAAACATTCAAAATGCATCAATAGCTCAATTTAAAAAAGTCGTAAATGAACGTTAGTGTGTTAAAGACTTTTATAATATTAATGAATATTTAAATGATGACACACTCTGGTAGTGAATTGATCGCTCCAGGCTCTTTCAATCAGAGTACTTATATTGTATTTGTAATATATTCATGTCACACTGTCTATTTAAAAAAATAATAAAGCCGCCTGAGTTTTTTTCGCCGGTTCTTCTCAATACAGTGGCTTTCTTTTCCGAACCGGTGGTAATATTTTCACTATCAATAAGCGAGTGTAATACTCCTATGTTGAATAAAGATATTTGATTTGATTTAATTTTAGTCACCCATGTAACACAATCTACTCACCCTAGACTGCAATCAACTAATTTTCCTGTTATACATTGAAATAGCAAAATTTTGTTTGAGACAAAAAATGTAAAATGTCGGAATGAGTTTGATATTGTCGATTACAGATTAAAATATCACATCCATTTTTTAATTTAACGATACGGTGAATTCTTAGTATAACATTACCTAAAACAATGAAAATATCATATTCGTGGAACACGTGAAAATTACAATGATTACATTCATTATGAACCTGTTGTGAGCCTCTGCGTGTGGGTTATACCCCAACTATGTTTTTTTTACCCCAATTTTTTTAGGGTTCCATACCCAAAGAATAAAATGAAGCCCTATTACTAAGACTCCGTCTGTCTGTCTTTCTGTCTGTCCGTCTGTCACCAGGCTGTATCTTATGAACCGTGATAGACAGTCGAAATTTTCTCAGATGATTTATTTCTATTTTCGCTATTACAATAAATACAAAAAAAAGAAAAACTAAAATAAAAACAAGAATAAAAAAATATTCAACTGGGGCTCCCATACAACAGACATGATTTTTTTTCCGTTTTTATAGATAATGGTCCGGAACCATTCGTGCGCGAGTCCAACTCACACTTAGCTGGTTTTTTGTCAATGATCTCGCGCCGGCTGTTAATACTATGCTACGCGTACCCAACGTAATTAAAATGGTATGGATATAAGAGTTACGAATTTCTGACGGCAGCTTTACTATGTATGTTGGAATTTATTATAGTTAATTATGGTGTCGTTTTTTGGATGTGGTATAAGGGGTACATTGTATAAGTAACAGGGCCTCACATAAGATGCGTGTGAAGTGGAAGAATTAAACTTTCGCGTTTAGTCGTAGTGAGTGAGTGTTACCTCTTTTTTAAAAGTTGTCAACGTATTTGCAAGTCCTCAGGTGTAGATTTGCAAAGCCGACAGTCTTCTCTTAATAACAGGTGAACCGCCATCTCGTTTGTCAATTTTGCAAATGAAAAAAATATGAACATATACATAAAAAAGAAAATTCTTTGAGCATATCCTTGCTGATGAAACTTAGTCTTAGTTACAGTATAGTGTTAACATTGCTCGACATCTGGTATGTATATATTTATAAAATTATATATAATCTATTTGGTATATAAATATTTAAATATTTTTATTATGTACATGTATGTATGTATTCATTTATAAACATGCATGTATGTATATGTATGTATTACTAGAATTTATTACCCATTATTAAATGCATAGTGTTTAATTCTACTTTACTGCCCTAGTCATTTTCTTTCTTTTTTACCTAGGTTAGTTGGTAGAGAATGCAATATAGCATGAAGCTCGCCTTTGAACTATAATTTTAAGTGCAATAAAGATTAAAGATTAAATAAAATAACTAAGCATACATAACAAAACATAATATCTATTCCGGAAGTGAAGCTCAGTATATTCTAGAACTAGGTATTAATACAGTATGATAACTTTAAAAGGATATTGCCCTGGCCTCGCAATAAATTTGAGCGTCGCGAGTGTGGAAATGCCCAAACGTTTCCTAATAACCGCGACAGCTCTGTCTGCCATTCAATATTGTGAAAGAGTCTGTTTATTTATATCTGAACACGTGTTTTCAAACTTGATTGTATACAAATCTAGATAATAAATAAATGCTGGTAGCTGGTCTGTTAATGGAGGTTTCTACTCGTAATATGCAGGCCTGCTCGGATGATCATGTGGTGGTTGGTTTAGTCGCAAACGATTACATGCGTATGCTTAGATCGCATCTTATGATGAAGTTTATATCTGCGGTGAAATTATGACCTATGAACATAATAATATTTTTAAATTAATACTTTTATTATCCCTTACTTCCGATCTCCATATAGGTATCCGCTAGAACATTCAAATAGAATATCCGCTTTTTAGGAATAGCGGCATTAAGCAAGAGATGCGTCAATGGACCGTGAATCAACGGCAGGTCGTTGTCTTTCTTCGTGCTTACGTAATAGGGAAACTGACCACTAAAAACTGCTCAAAAGTCCCAACAGCTTTGAGCACCGCTATAAAACACACATGTTGCGGTCGCACTTTAGTCAAAGCCGTCCGTGCCTCGGGACTGAACATAAGCCTGTTTCTACTGTGCTAAAATAGTCGCGTCTCGTTCGGTAAAATGAATTCGACCGTCAAGACCTATTTAAAACTCGCTTTATGCGTAACCCTAGTGCTTGGTGTGGAATGCCGCGTGATAAAAATCGACGAGGACGTTGGCGATTACGATGATTTGACGGTGAAGATAATAATAAAACACCAGAAGAGGGACGCTCACCCAAAGCTAAGACACAAAGAGCATATACCCACGGAAAAAGGGCACCCGACGAACCATAACAAAATGGACACTAAAACTGACCCTCCTAATGGACATGACGATTTAGATAGATTCTTCGCCGATTTAGACAAAAACGTTATGCCTATGAGCTCGTTGCCTGACAACTTGTTCGAGGACGATAGCGAGCAGCACGGACCAGGTTCCACAGAGGAGTCTCACCATAATCCGGCGATGGAACCCATTCCGGAATTCAAACCTCGTATTGGGATCCAAGTCGGGTCTTGCCCCCAGGGATATATTAGACGAGGGATGCTATGTTTGCCAAATAATAAGTGATCATTAAGCTTTAATATAGGTTAGGAACTAAGAAGACTTATTTATTTGCTGTTATTTATACAATATACGATTTGTTGACGACATTTTCAAGTTTTATTTAAAAATACCACTTTATTTTATTGGTGTATGTGTTGAATACTAAACGATTTAGTCTTATTGTGAATATTTCTTTAATTAATTTGAATCGTCATTTGGCAGAATACTTTTATATTTAATAATCTTAATGGAATATTTGTTAGATTTAAAGCAACAGTGGAATGGTTAAACATTGTTTAAAATAGAAAAGTAACCTTTTTATAAGATGAACAATCCTGATAAACCATTTTGAATTCTGCACTGACTGAAAGAGTTTAATAAAAAAAACATTAATTTATCACAGACTCAAAATTAATTTTAGATAAATAAAAAGTCTTGTGTATCTAATGTTCACTATACCATATACCCTCAATGAGTATACCATGATATCTTACTTACCTTATTCAATACATAACTTTTAGTACTCTAAAATAAACATAGAAAATGCATTACCAGATTCAAATTATACTTGCATTCGATAGATGAGGTTTCTGTGCGTGTATATATTAAATAATATGTAATATTTTAAAAGAGGAAGTTGCGAAAACTGCGTGTAAATTTTTTATATTTCTTAATTTTTTCGCATCATTTCATGTTAAAACCGAGCCGTGGCGCGTGCGAAAATCGCGAACGCAAGAAATAATTTATTTATTTCCAATCTCACCTACTTGGATTGGTAAATTCTCAGCTGTTTTGAACGCATGCAGAAGCTCAATTAATAAATATGATAAAACGGTAGTGTATAAAGAACTGCAAGAAGAGCATGTCAAAGTCAAAGTCAATATCTTTATTCAACATAGAAGCATTACACTTACTTATTGATTGTCAAAAAACTTTACTACCAGTTCAGAAAGAAAGCCAACTGACCTGAGAAGAACCAGCTAAAGAAACTCAGCGGCACATTTTTTTTCGTGAAGTAGAAGTATTAGTACTTTTGAGTTTCGTTAGGTTTTGGTGACAAAAACCTCTTTATAAAAAGGATGGTAAATTTATTATTCTTTCATTTAATTAATTAGTAAGCTGAAGTGGCGATGGACCGGCCATATAACTCGTAGAACCGTAAACCGTTGGGAAAGAAAGGTTCTCGAGTGACAGCATCGTACTGGCCATCACCGTGAAGGATGACCCCCGCTAAATGGAGTGACGACTTGTGCAAAAGGTCGATGGATGTAGGTGGCTTAGGATCTTACTTCGTAGTCTTCGGTGGACTCAAATAGGCCGTAATGATGATGATGATGATAATTAAAAACTCATTAATTCCATTACATTTTTTTTTACTTTGCTCTCATGCAATATATTTCATACGCCCATAGGTAGTAGACTCAAACAGCGTCACGAAAGCTTCCAAAACACATCAGTGTTTTTTCTGTGTACGCTATTCCTAAACCGAATTATTAAGTTATTCCTCTCAGTATTTTCAAGCACGTCCTCTGGGAAATGCCTTTAATAAAATACGATTAGACTTTAATAATAACTTTTCTTTTGATCCTTACCTTCCAACTATAATATCACTACATAATATAATACAAATTCGTCCCGCTGTCTGTCTGTCCCTATATACAGCTTAGATCTTTAAAACTTAACGACGGATCTTGATGCGGTTTTTTTTACTAGATAGAGTGAAAAGATTTATATGTATAATTAGTGACCCACCCCGGCTCCGCACGGATGCAATATATTATACATATAAACCTTTCTCTTGAATCACTATCTAATAAACAATATTTTAGTTTTTTGTTTCGTTTTAAAAATCAAAAGGAAATTTTAGACTTCATTCAGTATCTGGTATAAATTTCAACTTGCTAGGTCCACCCGTTTCTGAGAAAATCGTTGGTGACACACGGACAGACAGACGGACAAGGGAGTGAGTGATCTTATAAAGGTTCCTTTTTTAACCTTTTAAGGTACGGAACCCTAAATAATAATATTTTTAAATTAATATAATTTTACTTTTGCCTTGTTTTTCTTTATTTGCGCTCTACAAGAATTCGCTTAAGATTTTTTTCCCTTTTACCACTGTCCGTGAATCAGCAGCGGATTATTGTCGTCCTGCGTTCTTACGTAATAGGGAAAATTGCCACTAAATAATTAAAATTATCGATAGCTGTGAACACGGCTATAAAACACATACGTCGCGGTCGTTCCTTAGTCAAAGCCCGTGCATCGGGACTGAGCATAGCATGTGTCTACTGCACCAAAATAATCGCGTCTGGTTCGGTGAAATGGCTTTGGCTGTCAACACCTATATCAAACTCGCGCTATGCGTAACTCTACTACTTGGTGTGGAGTGCCGCGTGATCAAAATCGAGGAGGACGGTGGCGGTTCCAGCGACTTTACAGCGAAGATACTCATAAAATACGAGAAGAGGGATATTCTCCCAAAGTTGAGACACAAGGAGCATATGCGCCCGGAAATAGTGTACTCGTTGGAACATAAGAATATGAACACTAAAACTGATGATCCTCCAGAGACGAATGACTACGATGATATTGATAGCTTCAAAAGCGTTATGCCCAAGAGCTCGTTGCCCGATAACTTGTTTGAGGAGAATAGCGAACAGAACGAAGCACGGTCCATGGGATGGTCTCACTATAATCCAGCGTTAGAACCGATTCCGGACTTCACACCGCGTGTTGGGATTAATTACGGGTATTGCCCCCAAGGGCATATAAGACTTGGGAATGATTGCTTTCCGAATAGTAATTGATCGTTTAGTTGTAAGAAACCCCGAAGACTTATTTGTTTGTCAGTATTATATTAATATACGATTCTTTAAGGATGTTGCATAGTTTTATTAACGAAATTTATCTTTAATTTTAATTTGTATCGTGATAAAACAACAATTAGGTACTCTTCCACCACTGGCTTACCTTTATTAGGTATCCATACTATTAATCGAATAATTATTAAATTAATGTAATAAACGTAACAGTAGGAAGATTATATACTTTTCATTTAAATAAAGAGCATAGAAGGTAAACCCTATATTATATGATAAACAATCTAATATATCACAGTAGCCGATGTACTGAAATTATTATAAAGACCTGTGAATCTAATGTTTACCATACAAAATCTCTAAATAAGTTTTGGAATAATATCTTACCAGCCATACTCAATACATATGCGTACTAAAATAAAGGATAAAATAACGAATTCATTAGCCATGGCTCCTCAAACTATACCTGTGTTCCCATCCTTTACGGGAGGGAAATAGCAAGGTAGTGTTGGAGTCCTGGTCCGAAAAGGGTACGCATTAAAACTCGACGTTGCACTTTTGCTATTCTTGACGCCAGATGGTGTGGGTTCGATCTCCACTACTGGAAAATATTGTGTGATTATCATAGTGTTTACCAGTATCCTGGGTGTTTAAACATATGTATTAAATGTATTTATTCACAAAAGACAAGTATGTTTAAGTATGTTCATCAGTTATCTAGTACAAGCGTTGTTTAGTTTTAGACTAGAGAACGTTGTGCAAAAACGTGTCCTAAATAAATATTTACAATTAAAATCATTTACCTGTCTACGTAGCATCAGCTGGGGGCACGGAAACACCAAGGCGCAATCTTATTCAAGCTCCTTAGGCTTCCTCTCCTCGGGTGTTAGAACACTCGGTTCAGCCACATGGTACCGTACCAGTGCAATTAGTCTGCCATCAGGCACTCAAAAATAATGCTACAAAAATACAGTGTATACGAAAATCCTGCGCCACAAAATCTTTCCATTTTCATCCGAGTTGCTTTTTCAGACGGTCTTTCGTAAAAACCGAATTATCAAGTTTTCACCGTCCCCGTATTTTCAAACGTGTCCCCTGTTCACTTTAATAAAATACCGTTGAGCTTTGATAAAAACTTCTCCTTTGATCCTTGCCTTCAAACTATAATACATTCTGTGTGAGATTTTACCCGTAATACCTCTTAATAGGTGTATATTTTCACCTTACACTGAGCTTATTAGATGAAAATTTATAAAGGTGAAAATTTTTACGCATCTCATTCTCTCATATTTATTTCAGAAACTTTTAGTCTCTCATCAAATATTCTCCCTGATGATTATTATATTGCCGCTGGATATGAAAAAGAAAAATATTCAGTAGCTTAATTATCATCGTTACTTAAAAGTAAACGGAATTCTTAATTATAAAACGATAAAGTTAACAAATATCACTTTCATTTTTGGCTTACGATTCGATCTTTTATTTAGGTACAAAGCAGCGCATTGTTTATTTTGTTCGTTTCATGACACAGGTGTACGGATGTGTGTTATATACCAAGGACAGTATAAATGATGATATATTAAATTGTAAACAAGTTTTTAAGGGCTACTTTGCAATTATCAAATATAAATGCAATGTAGATAAAGAAACTTTGATATTTTCGTCGGTGTGGCAATCAGCCGTTTACCTTAGTGGCGTAAAGTGTCAGGGAGCGAATCCCGAAAAAATGGATTCGATGTGCACAGTGTCAAAAAACTTTTTGCTTTTAAGCTATAATGTTTAAGGGTCCCCTCTGGTGAATAGTGAAGCGATTCTACTTATCGAAGCAATGTAACTATATGGATTAAGCAATCGTGGCATAAGTATGACACGATTGCTTATATATATGCTCGTATAGAATGCTTGAGATAGTAATAGATGAATACTTAATATCCTTAATATTAAGTATTATTATTTACTTAAAACACCAAAGAATTTTTAAGGATTTTTTTGAAAACCGGTTAATCATGCGTTACGGAAAAGGAAAATATTGCGACGATAATAAAAAATTATTTGTGATATATACGTGTACATGTAAGTAACTATTTCTCGCTATATTCTAATCATATTACAGTGCGCAAATTTTTGCGAGAAAGCCGTCAAAACAAAAAACATGAATACAAATCGAATCGCAAATGAAGCAACGTTAATACTAGAGGGTTACGCTGAAAGTTTTTAGAACTGTCCAGTTTGTAATTGTCAATGAAAACTTCTTTTAAAGTTATGTGCCTATAGAGAATTCTTTGATAACCTAATGTAATGCATACATTTGTCATATGTTTTTGTGAATTGGCGGCAATTTCAAAAGTCTTGTAACACCCAAAATGAATTTAACCATCCATGATTCATAACGACTCGTGGTCTTACTCAACAACAAAGGTATGATAGAATTCGATTAGCATTTAATAATTAAGCCTCGTCCCATGCCATTGTTTACATTTGGTTTAATGAGTTTAAGCGTGGGCGTTACTACTGTGCTAAGGTCAAGCAACACCTTCTGCTGTTGTAAGAAGGTAGGCTCTTCTACGAAAGTACCAGGACCTCACAGAAGACCGACATGAAGTGGAAGCATTAAAGAAATAAATAAGTAAGAAAAACTTTCGCGTTTCTTATGATGAGTGAGGTACGGTTACCTCTTTTCAAAGTTTGTTGTTTGTTGTCCATGGGAGGCGGTATTCTTTTAACATTAGGTGAATCATCTCTTCTTTTTTCCACTTGTCACAAAATGAAATGTCAAAATTTCTTCATTAGCGGTCCGTAAATGAATTTAAAGTGTAAATTGCAACATTTTCTCCTCTCTAAATATAGGTCGCTCCCAAGAGAGCCGTGGGTTGAAGAAAATGACGATTATTCCGTTTACGAGTAGACTGTCTAAAAGAAAAGGCGAAACAATTACCGTATTTTCTAGAGTATAGACACTAACATTATTGTACTATTTGCTTTCATGTTTAATAAAAGCATAGCCCCAGTTATTATATATCCATTTTATATAATGTAACTAGCGACCCGCCCCAGCTTCGCACGGGTGCCATGTATTACACATTTATAAGCCTTCCTCTTGAATCACTATCTGGTAAAAAAAACCACATCAAGATCCATTGCGAAGTTTTAAAGATTTAAGCATACATAGGGACAAACAGACAGCGGGACGACTTTGTTTTAAACTATGTGTAGCGATATCTATTTAATAACAACAGATGATAAAAAGGACCCTTGCAAAAAATAAGATTATAAGATAATACTTCTCTTTAAGAATCGAAATATTTAAATGCCGCAAAGTCATAGGTATAAAATTTGAAATGTAAACAATAAAAGTAAATTGGGAAATATTAGTAATAGATAAATTTAAAAAATTTAAAGGTTACTTTGAAGAAATATTTATGTTTTTTTTATAAAGTTAATAAACGGGAAAATATTTGAACACTGATTGAAACAAAAAAAAAGTATTGTTGTTTTTTTATGGTTAATGATTAATCACCCTGGATTTTGGATAGAAAAGACATAAGTTTAAGTGTGTTTGTTTAGTATAAAGAATTGCTAATTAATTATTTAGTACTAAAAGTACGAGAAATATACTATTAACTAACTATAACTAATCTTCAGATTTTATATATTATATAAAAGAGGTATACTTACATACATACAAAATAATTTATAAGTCGCAAGAGGTTACAGACCTTTTAAACATGCTTTTTTACTTCGGCCTTTTCATTAAAGTTAAAAGATGTTAATTGATGACTGTTATTTTCATTTGGAAGAGTCAATTGGAAGTACAATATGGTCGCCAAAAATTCCGTAATAATTGATTTTTCTGCAGTATCGAAGACTGCTTATTCAAGAAATAAACTGGCATGCTATTTCGTTTATAATGCGTTGCAGTTCACTGGCGAGTTTTTTTTTCTTTTATGTTTATGTTAAAAGTTGCCAAACGAGCAGAGCGTCACCCATGGACATTTACAACACGCGTAGGGTTGCACATGCGTTGCCACCTTTTTATAATGAGGGCCTCGGCTACCTCACTCACCAATCGAAAGCAGAAGTGTAACACTTCCATTTTACGCCAGTCTTCCGTGAGATCGCGGTACTTCCCCGGACAGACCTGCCCACTCGTGCAACAGGGCTGTGTCATACTAACAACGAAATCTAGTCCATTTCACTTATTAGGTGAACTTGCGTCCGATGGTAAGGTATAGTCGTAGGAAGACCTGACTATGATCAAGCCAAATGGCAAGTTAAGTTAAGTTATCTTCAATTCTGAATTGAGACTAATTTATTCATATATGGCAAGTATATGTTGCGAAACGTCTCTGCGATGTTATAGGTGTAAATATAATATGAAAAATAGTATATGAATAAAACGGAATGTGGGATGAAACAAATATTAAAACGTAAAAAAATTAAAAGGATAATTTTTTTGTTCAAAGACATGTTATGTGTTATTTTATATTATTTTTAAGATTTATTACATTTGTTATTTTTCGGTCAAAGTTACACACTTTCGTAAGCTTGTCTTTTTGTGACCAACACGGTAATATTATATGAAAAGATCTATAAAAACATTTATACCAACCAGGGTGTATTGAATTCGGTTTGGTTAAAAAAACACAGAGGAAAAAGCTTTCAATAATAATTCAATGCTACCATCTTATAAGATAAAAGGAATTTTGGCATTCGATTCTATCTTTACATATGAAATAACAAAGCGACACTTCGCTTCTTTTATACGACGCAAGATATAAGCGAATGGATATTTATTATTCACTCGTAGCTGTTAAATTTTGTACACGGATAATAAAAATAATTCAATCTGCTGATGGTATTCACTACTCAAATGCTTTTCTAAGTGTAACCATTTTTTTTATTACATTCTAAACATAAATAATATTATATAAAAATAATAAATATTTAAAATCACTCGTAAGTAAGTAATTAACATTTATTTGAACTTATCTCAAAAATTACATGATTTATAGATATTTTAGCTACATTTAAACTAGTATTCGTAATATCATCGGTTCTTCCGTGTATGAAGGAATCTATTAGTCCCTCCCTTAGGCTATAGTTTAGAGTGATATAGAACAAAACGTTCTTGCGTCCTGCACAATTTCTTAAGTTATTCTTGGCCATTAATAATATGATTCACAAAGCCAAAATAACATGTATCTTGTTTGCGTCACAGTCAAATACCATGTTTATATTTAAATTTCGAATACTTTTGTTTATTTTTTAAAGTTTCATAATTATTTTAGCGTTTCGTAATTAGCAAGTGATTATTTTTTTGAAAATTGTTATAGATCAGCAGTAGTTTTTGTAATGAACAAAGTACAAACGCTTTTAGTTTAAGCTATACATTTTAATCCGTCCTCTCTGGCGAATCGTGGAGCGATTCTTCTTATCGAATTTATGTATTATCCATAGAAAATAAACGTTCGTTATATATAGAATGTAATAGAGGACTACATAATTTAAATAGATTTATATACTTCTCCTAATTTGTTATATATATTTCATGTATCCCTTCAATATCTATGAAAAAGCTCATTTTTTATTGCTTGCTAGAGTTAAAATTAATCCTTTAACCGACCCAGAATTCCAAATTCAAAGTAGTTTTTTTCTCAACGTCCGATATATCATTGACCGCCTGCTTCCGTAACCAAAGTAAAGCGAACATCAGTTTTTTTTTAAATCCAATTAGGCAACCAAAACGCGCTTAAGATTTCAGCTATTTTCGTCATCAGGGTTTCAGGATTCCTGTAATAGAATATAATTTTAAATAAAAAAGTCCATCGACAGTAATGTAACTTTCCATTACTATGATTTACAATTTTTTTTTCAATAACATCAATTTCATAGCAAAGGTTATATTAACAACCCAGTAATTTTAAATGTAAAAAAAATCTGTAGATAATTTAAGCTTAATAACATATTCCCCGTGAGTCTTATTCATAATTAATGATTCACGACAAGGTATCAATGTCTGTTAGTGCAACGTAACAGTCAAGACAAATAAATTACCGTTAAAATTAACAGGGATTTACCCTTATGACGAGTGGTATGACGTTAGACGTCCCAAATTAAACTTCCAGTTTTTTTTAAAGTAACCTAAGCAAATAAACCGGTGTCTACTTTGATACTAGGATCTACATTTACAGGTCATCAGCTCTTATGGTGAGGTGCTTCCAGCTAAACGCAACATTAACGCGAAAGTAAAATACTTCCACTTCACGCCGGTCTTCTGTCAGGCCGTGGTACTTCCCCGGACGAGCTTGCCTATTCCTGCAACAGCAGAAACTGTCGCGTTGCCATACCACAGATAGAAAAACAAAGCTTGTAGACCATTACATCTTCATCGAACATAGAACTCATGAGGTTATATATTACCATTTTAACTTAGAACATTTTGGACAAAGACATGAGTTTTGTTTATGATTTCCTATTAAGAACGTGAAAATATTGCCACGGATGTTGCAATAATGAACATAAGATAATATTTTTATATTTCCGTCACGACGTCTCTTTTATAAACAAGCTTGAACGTTTCCTTAAAAAATATTAAACATACAGCAATGTGCCATTAAAAAGTTACCTACTCTTAAATATAAAAATTTGTATTAAACATTCATCACAGTAGAAAAATAGCAGAAAATTTTTAAAACAATACACGAGAAAATACCTAATTGCAAAGAAGAATTTATATATGGTCCCAGCAACACTTAGTTAAAGTTAATTTCATATTACTTCGTTCATTTGGCGCAGAAGAGCAATAAACCTTCTGTAATGAAACCAACTAAAAGCCGTGAATTCTTGACGAATTACTTTGAAACGAGGTTACTTTATTGAGGCAACCATTTCTGTACATGAAACCTTATTTACTTCTAAATTTAAATAAAAAGGTTTTAGTCGTCCCAATTAATTCATATTGTTTTCTTGATTTTACGCGAATATTATACATATTAAATGAAACTAGTTTACGGATTTTATCGCGTTTTTTATTTATTTTGATTTGAACTCCCGACGTTTCGAACCCTTTCCAGCGTTCATGGTCACGGGACAGACTAAGTTGTTATACATTATATATAATTATATGACATCAAGACGTAAGTATAACAACTTAGTCTTTCATTTAATACCCATTTTTTTAAATTAATTCACTTACAAATTGTGTATTACTTTATTATTGTAGTGATTAACACAGTCAATCTTTATTCTTATGACTCATATAAATTCGCTTATGTATTATGTAATACATAACCGAATTTATATGAGTCATAAGAAAGGTAAAAATATTAAACTCGTTATTGTTACACAATTCGTAAATTAACAGTCTAAGGAGGTGTTACTTAATTAGTTACTTGAAACGAGAATTCGATAAGATTTAAGCAATAGCCGACGAAACTTTTTAGGCAGATCGGAGGACTACTCGTACAGTCATCTTGGCCGCTTAGCTTAGTAGATTAGAACATGAATGAAATACTTTATTGTCCACCACACATAGGACCATGTGGGTGAATTGAACATTATGACTCCGTGGCGTTGCCAAGGTGATGGCTTCGGCGTCGGTGGTCGTGGGTTCGATTCCCACACGGGACAACTATTGTGCGACCCACAGATAGATGTTTCGCATCTGGGCGTTGTCCGCGTAAAATGTATGTTTTTAAAACGTCCTTACAACACAAAATAATTTTATCCTAAATTATTTTGAAAAAAAAAGTCATTCATTCCTATTTTGCTGCTCACACACACAGGCACAATGTAAGCTAAACGTCTTTCGGTACGTAGTAAAACCCCTTATACGAAAATGTTGTGCCGAGCAAGCTTCCTAATTCCATCACAGCTTCTTATAGGACGCAGTACGCACCGTCGTCAACCGAATTATTAAGTTTTTCCTCGTCCCCAAGTAGTGTAAGACTGTCCCGAGCATGTCACTTTTAATAAAATACGACTGAGCTTCAATAAAACTTTCCTTTTGGAAAACGTCAAACTTTAATACAATAGAAGAAATATTTTTTTGAATAATAAGACGCTCCTAAGCGAGCCTTATATCGAATATTCAATTCAAGATTATTGTAATGTTTCATTAAAATTTGTGAAAGAGTAACAAACATCCATCCAAACATACAAACTTTCGCCTTTATAATATTAGTAAGGATTAAAATTTGTAGAAAAAGTACGAAAAGATTGTCGCCGCTGTGGGAATCGAACCCACGTCTTCAGAATTCGCGGCTGACGCTTTAGCCACTTAGCTAAGGGGCTGATTGCCACACCGACGAAAATGTAAACGTCTTTTATCTACATTTTTTTTTAGCATTTGAAGCAATGCTTGAATATCCATTGTAATATCCTTTCCAGCATACAAACAATTTCGAGTATCATTTTACAACGATAATTCGAATGAGAAATGTCGCCATTGCTTTTTTTATTGTTCTTATCACTGCACTTAAGGTTAAACATTAAAATTTGTATAAAAAGTACGAACAGATATGAGATAAGAAGACAGGAGATACAAGCTTTAATAGACCTGGACACGCGCCCTGGGACTAGCTTTGTAAGAAACTGGACGTGACTGAAGTAATTGGAGGTCTTGACTGTCTTTTATTTGAACCGTTTTATTACTCCTTTATGTGACGCCAATAATACATATAATACTTGTCCGTGATGGTTCTGAATTTTTAAAGCTCTAATGCCCTTGTACATACTCAATGTTTATAAAGAGAAAAATTAGTTTGTTTCTTTTTATGGAATTGGTTTACAGATTCAAATTTTAATAAATTTTTTTAGTTTTTATAATTAGTTTGAATAATGTCAAGTAATAAATTATAAATCTTTCAATATTTTTAAAATAAGACGGGACGAAAGACGTAAAAGCTCACAGTAATATTTAGGGTCAACATGTTGAGTGTCATTGTGGGATAAAATTTTATCATTCCTAAATAAAAGACATTTGTGATTTTAGCTCCCATTTCGTGTATCGACTCCATACCAATTAGCATTTAAATATTAATGGCAAATAAATGTAAAAAAAATTCAATAATTCAGGATTACAAATAAAAGATTTTTTTTTTTAATTGTAAGCCAAATATTTCTAATGTAATTGGTGTTTTATATTTTAATATTTCAGTCCCGACTTGATTACGAGAGCGATATTGAAGCTTATTTGAACAAAGTTACGACAACTTTGTTTCAACACTTTTTTACGACCCCGGGAAATTATTCTCAAAGGGATTTTATGCCCTTTGTATCGTCATGTTTTTAAGAACTTTTAAATTTAATCTAAATTGCTTTCTAAGGGTCATAGTCTTTAATTTAACGGGAGTTTGGAAGGAGCGATAAGAAAAATTAACTACTTTTTTCTCGGTTGGATTTTTTTTAATGTGAAAAGTTGCCTAACGAGTAGACGGTTCACCTGATATTAAGTGAGTACCGCCGCCCATGGACATCCGCTACACCCTTGGGTTTGCAGATGCGTTGACAACCTTTTTGGAAATTGGGCTCCGGCCACCTCACTCACCAGACTAAACGCGAAAGTATTATACTTCCACTTTACGCCGGCCTTCTGTGAGGTCGTGGTACTTACCCGGACGATCCTGCCCATTTATGCAACAGCCGAGGCTGCTGCGTGGCCTTACCACCGTAAGATGGAAACTGCAACATTAAGCAATATTATATAATTTGTTTTTATGATTAACATTTCACTATTTAGTCTGTTAACCAGTTACATAAAGACAGTTCTAATCATTGATTTGACGTATACCAGTCACGTGTACCTTTGTAGGGTTTTTCTCGAAACTCGCGTGGCAGCGCGTGCCTCGCATGTATAAAACTGGGAAGGTATTAACTCATACGGGACAAGACAGAGAAATTCAGCGGAAAATCAGATTACGACTATTGTAGAATAATTTGTTACGTTTAAAAAACAAAAACAGTAAAAAGCTTATGTGAAAATTTTATGGTATTAAGGTACGAAATTGTACGAATTATTTCGAGTAAGTGCTATGTTTTCGGAAACCATGATTTAAAAAAGTTTACGCTGTGCATAGGAAATAATTTAAAAAGATCAGGTAACTTTTAGTTCTTTACTTTAACCTAATAGTTTATGTTACTTTTTTTAAAAATAAAGAATTTCGACAGTTAATCGCCAGCTCAGATATCCATTAAAAGTTAAAAGCAAAGAAGGCTACACTTTTATATTATCAACATTAAAAAAAGCGATAAAATCAACGAAACTACGTTTTAGTATTAAACATTACAATGTTCGGTTAAACATATTTATTGTGAAATGAAACTATTTGGTTGGTTCATGGTTACGGGACAGTGTGGCCGTGAATTTAAAAATATAATTAAACGCGATAAAAACCGTAAAATAGTTTCACTTCACAGTGTATAATATTTACGTAGAAACAGAGATCAACATAACATTTTTCGTTTCTAGTGTAATGCAATGTTAAGGCCAAAAGGCACGATGAATATGAAAGTATCTCATTGACACTATGGAGGACGTTCAGACTTAGTGTAGATCTTTTATGTCACTTCCCGCAGATTCCACGGACCATAGTTTCCCGTAGAATCCCCGAAACTACGCGTGAGGTCCCTTGGCCGCGTGACCTCCATTTTGCCTCGTATAAGGTTATACAGTAAACATAAAAATCACTCTATTACGCATCATTTCGTCAAAAAAGTTAGCTTCCATTTCGGGTCGCGGCAACATAATGTCAGGACGTCGGCCCCAGAACTAACATACTTTCTAAGGGAAAAAAAATACGTCAGCTGGAAGAACTGAGTGCTTCGAAGGTAACAGTGGATTTTAACGAGTTAGCGTAATTATCTAATAAAACTGTGTCTTTTCTGTTTTGCAGATGGAACGAGAAGTTAGGTACTGGCCAGTTTTTTGTAAAAAAAAACATGTTACAATTCCTTCACAAGCGTTTCGTGAAAGCGTAGAGGAAACATTTTCACAATTTATTAAAAATAACAATCCCGAGTATCTCTCGGATATATACTCTATATATAAGTAATGCTGGAACGGAGGAAATGATGATAATTTAGTTTACGACGCCATCGTCCAAGGGGAGAGGCGAAACAATTTCCATATTCTCTAGTTATATACTAAAATTACTGTTCTATTTGCTCTTATATTGTTTCGAATTTAAAAAAAAAAGCTTTATAACATACATACCGATATTGTCCTCCTGACTGTTTGTAACAGTTACCATCTATTCAAATAAAATACCGCCTACACAATAAAACCTCTTAAATGAGAAACATTCAGGAAGTTTTGGTGTGAATCTGAAATCTGAAATCTCCAAAAAAACTTTAATCGTCTCTAAAGAATCACATTTTCTTTGTACATCGCTACAAATTACGTTTGTTTTGTACATCTCTACAAAGCAAATGTGATTCTTTTATAAAAGATACATATTTCCTAGTCGATTATAACATAACAAAAAATAAAATGTTACAGACTAGCAAACGTTTCTAAATTTGACCGACTAGTCAATTGATTTCGTTTATTGTTTTCCTTACTAGGACATAGTCTAATATTAATTAACACTTCTATTATATATGACAAGTTTCTTAATTTCATAAAATACGTTCAAAAATTAATTAATCATTTAAAACCTTTTATTGAAGTAACTTTTAATAATAAAAGCTTATTTTGACATTATAACATTCACCACAGAAAAATGTGTATAAGATAATTTATTAACAGAGACGTGAGAAAATTCCTAATTACAACGAAAAATATTTGTACGCTTCCAGCAAGGCTATTTTGCCTCGTAAAAGTGAATCCCAAATTAAGTAATTTTGTTCGTTCATTTAATACGAGAGAAATAAACCTTTTTTAATCAAACAAAGAGTGGTGAATTCTAAATGAATTGCTTCGAAACCACTTTACTGAGTTAATCAGCTATTAACACAAAAACATTTATCCTTATCCTTCCAATTTTCTACGAAAATGTCATCAAACATTAAAAATAATAAACCATGTGGTGTCAAAACCCCCTTGGCTTTGCTTAAATAGCCTCGTCCCAGTAAAATAATTACCCACCCCAATGGTGCAACCACGATAGCTTGAACCTACTTCAAGCCATTGTCGCAGTTTTGTTCGCTGTACTGACCTATAGACACCCAGTTGCCCGCGATCCCTCAGGCCCCGTTTCCGGTATGGATCACTATTTATATATGGAAGACCGTAAAGAGCTGTACCCTCGTCTCGGTGATCCCGTCTCCGAGAGGGATCTGTCCTCTCTCGGACCCTCTCAGCAACCTCCTTCTTGATCATCACGGTCTCGCAAACGTTACGGCCCTCCATGCTGCATCTCGACTCAACATCGACGAAACGACTGCTGGTAAAACCTATCTTTACTTACTTTCGTCCAATGTAGCTTACCACGATACTCCGCTCCGTCTCCCATGGGCATCACACACACACACACACACACACACACGCGCGCGCACACACACACACACACACACACACACACACACACACACACACACACACACACACACACACACACACACACACACACACACACACACACGGGCGTAGTAACAAACGACAACATTCACTTCACTAGTTCATGATATTCTTCTTTAAGTAATAGTCTCGTACTAACCGCTTAAACGAGGTTCTGCTAGGTGCTCTTCGAATGTCTTCAGGTAAGGAGTTCCAGAGCAGTGCAGCCTGAACGGTAAAAGATTTACCAAAGAAAGTTGTGGCGTGGAGAGGAATTTTAATCTTTAGATTAGATGAAGAACGAAGATGTCTTTCATTAGATTGAGAGAGGTATTGAAATTTATCCTTAAGATAAGACGGAGAACTCGATCGTTTAAAATTGAGAAAAGTGAAAGCAAAATTCTACGTTAAAAAACGTTACGTCTTTGTTGAATAGTAAGCCACTTAAGACGTGTGCGATAATGACTGATATGATCATATTTACGAAGATTGAAAATAAATCTGATACAGTTGTTGTAAAGGCGCTCCAGCTTGTTAGGGATATAGTTTTGTACCCTTGTACGCTCCGTATAGCCATCCGCTTCTGGACATTGTAGATCTTAGATCTACAACGTCGTATGGCGAGCCTTTTTGACCACACGGGTGATCTTAGCGAAGCCTTTTAACAATAAAAATCTTAGAAAATTAGATTATTATTGAACTAATATTTTATGGTTCACCATCCGATGCCTTTCTCCGATGTAGGGCATATAATTTTCCTTAAATTTTAGAAATGTCAAAATCGTAACAGTAATAAATAATCCAAATTCAAATGGATGATGATTATATTAGCAGAAAGTATACTACGAGGCACTTAACGGATTGAAATAATAAATAATGAATCTAAATGTTTCTTCAAAAACCTAATAATTTAGAGTGCGTCAGCGACTTTTTAACGCTCCTCTCGCTTTTTATACTTGAGAACATAATGTATGTACGTAATAATATCCACCTATTTACGAAAAAACATTCCACATCGCGTCGGGCCGTGGTGACACTCAAGTACCGAGGTTTAGACTGGCTAAAACCGAAAAGTTGTTTCTTGGTAGAGGCATCAACTTTTATAATAAAATAGGTGACATCCACAAACAACTAAGTAGGTATAAACAATTTCAAACAATTTGAAAAGCAACCTTAATGGCAAGGGCCTACTATAATGTCCAAGAATACATTGAGGACAAGGATGTGTTGAAATGACTCTTGCTCTGCACTTGCACTTGATTTTATACCTAAATAAGTTTACAAACTTATAACGGCATCACAAAAAAAACCATAAAGAACAAGACCGCAGAGTTTCTTGCCGGTTCTTCTCTGTTCAGGTCTAGTTTAGTGAACCGGTGGTAGATTTTTTGTTGACGTTCAATAAGAGCTTAAGTTAATCAAAGAGCCTATATTGAATAAAGATACTTTGACTTTGACTTTGATGTAAGGTAACTATGTACTTAATAGTGACGACAAGTTTAGGTAAGTGCTCGAAAAATGAAGAGCACATTGAAAAAACTCCTTGCTACAATACATTAAATTGAACACTTTTATCATACATAGTCTCCAATTGGACATAATATTAGACTACACAGGATTACATTAAGATTCGTAGCGCCGTTGTACTGTTTTGCACCTTTATCTTTTTAAATTGAATAAAGTTTGCACGGCATTGTAAAAATCCTCAAATAAAATATACGGACTACGTGAATTAATATTATCTAAAACAATTTCGGGTTTAATACAAACTGAATCCTTGGAATAACACATTATAAATATCTTTTTATGTACATATAAATATAATGGGAGACAGATATTTATAAGATTCACTATGAAATTATACACACAAATAGTTATACAGCTCTTTTTGTTGCGGTATTAGAGAACTAAATATTTTATTACTATCTAATAGTTAAGAAACTGACAGGCTCTTAGTGCATTATGTTGAGCACTAGCTTAAATATTAAAGTGTACAGATAAAAGCTCTGTAACGAAGTTTTCTTAAACTAATTAACGGAACACTTTATTGTACTCTATTATTGCCGGCCGCAAAACAATGGCTCGTCGAATTTCAAAACTCTTACATAGGTCTCTCGACCGCGTTGGTTTTAAATTAGAACGATGAGTGTGTTCAATAACAGCTCAATACTGACACTTGATTATATTACAGTAAGCTTTGTCATTTATGGTCATTTTTAATGCTTCTGCAACCTTTTTTTTTTTTCTGCAAACTTTTTTTTAATCTTTTCATTTATCTTAATTTTATCTAGCTAAAGTAAAGCGAGACATGGTTAGTGGCGAAGGCAACGTTTCACTAAAAGCATCGTACTTTATAGTAGTAGCAGTAGATTACTTCGCTGATTCGCTGCGCTTCATACATATTAAAGACGGTACGAGTAGTTTTGCCCTGCGGATAATTACTTACGAGTTAAATATTTAAGTCGTATTAAAAATCTCTGCAATATTAGTTGTTATGTAGTGTGCGTATTTTGTCGTCAATAATTTGTGGCCTTTTTTATGTGAAAAGTTTTCAAGAGTGAAAAAAATAACTATTTTAATTAGCGGTAAGATTATTGCTCCATAAAAGTGAATTATATTAAGTATAAAGGAGCAATGAACCTTCTTTAATTTAATTTATCGAACACGGTCTGGTGTACTTATGATGAATTTCTTGGAAACCACTTTCGTGCGTAATTAAGTTATTTATACAAAACGTCTATCTTGTTAAGATGTTTTCAGTTACCCAGGGCTAGGCTTAATTAAGCTACCAATTGCTTATTACATTTGATGAAAATTCTAAACCAATTTTAAAATATCATTCCCTAGTAATTATAGCAAGTTAAATCGTCCTTTGGGGTTGACTTAAGTAAAATTTTAGTTATAAGTCTTCATATTTTATTTCATCAGCAGAAAAATGATAACCATAGCATGTCTCCGAATGTTCAATTTCAAATTATAGAATAGAACATTACAGTTACTGAATTCTAAACACTACGCATACTCTCTAAATTTACTTCTATTTCTGCTGCAGTGGACTTTGACTTACAAAGGCTGGAATATAATGAATGATGACGATTATATTCTTATTAAGTATTTATTAGAAAAAATACCTTACTATAATTAGCGTCACCATGCGAAGCCGACACGAAGCTGGTAAAATTAAGTTTACATAACGTATTCGAAAGCCATATAATAATTTTAATAAATTTACTATTATTACTTTTTAGCTTCTTAAAGTGTATGTCTTTTCCGTATCTGTGAGTAACTTACAATAATAAGTTTTTGACAAACAGTTCTAGGGTAAATATTGTGGAGGTAGGATTGACTTATATTACATAAAGTCAAATAATCTCTTCTTAAAGGTAAAGGCAAACCTCACCTGTCTGTAAAAGGGCAAGAACCTTTGTGATTCACACGGCCAGTAGCAGTTATCGAATCAAGAACCCTTTATAAGGCTTTGATGTAAAACACGCATCTCTTACTTGAGCTTAGAGGCGTCTATGGGCTATTGATATCATCTTTGTCAAAAATTTCTATGGCTTGGTATTGTCGCAAATCGAAAATAACCCAATCTAAATATGATTCATAGTTAGGTTCACCCATTTTTAATGTTAACATCCATCGCAGCATGGATTTTTAGAGCCTCTGCAATGCGGTGTGATGTGTTTCTTCGTCTTTTTGCATTCAAATTAAAACGCTCCGTTAGAGATAGAATATTTTGATAAAATTTAACCGGCGTTACAAGCGCACGTACAGAAGTTCTATTCACATTTATGTAAGTATCCTGATTAATTTCAATAATTTTAGAAAATAGGTCAAGTAAAGGCAATTGCGATGTTGCCTATCGCATCTTATTATGTAAAAGTAATACAAAAAAATGCACGTAGGTATCGAAATAAAAAAAAATAACAAGGCTTTTCTCAAAAGTTTTTTCAATAAGGCTTTCACACGACTTAATTGCTGTTAACATTTTAAAGGTGAATAGATCACTTCAAGAATAAATTTGGCCTTTTCGTAAATACGAGTTTTGATCGGACCAACTCATATTTTCATAAAACTCGTAAGATAAACCGTGGTAAAATAAACCCAATTGGAGGCGCTCAATTGGCGGGAATGTAAGAAAATACAAATAATTAGATCTATTTAAGCAAAAGTAAACTAGATATTACGACTGGGTTGTGACGCGAATACGTTTGCTAACATCTGTACTCGGGTATGTAAGTGTACCTATATATTCATTCTGATAATCATTTATCGTTCTTGAAAGAAATAAAGAAAGAACGGAGAAGATACACTTTATTCTCATTTTATGTGAGAAGGTGCCAGACGGACAAGTGACTCCCCCGATGTTTAGTGATTTCCACCGCCCATGGACATGTACAACACCTGGAGAGTATGTTTTTTACCAACCTTATAAACAGCAGGTTCCGTTCATCTCACTCACCAGACGAAAATCAAAAGCTTAATACTTCCAATTCACATTTCTTTTAGCATTAACAAAGAGGCACACACTTGAAATTATATTTAAAACTGTTAAAACTGACTGTGCCCGTCACATCGTCTGCGTGGAATTAATTTTAATTATAAAGAAAATGATGTGGTATAGAAAAAAAAGAAAAAAAAAATAAGTGTGTAAAAATTAACGTGATCTGCCGTCTGTTTTGGGGTCGCCCGATTGCCTACCGAGCTATTATAACATTTTTTTTGCGGCAAATTTACTGTCATATTCGAATGATGTTTTTCATTTTCTGAAATCAGGGATAAAAGAACGTTTTCTAACAATAAAACCTAGCTAAATCGATTATTCGCCCCCGAATCTACGCACATACTAA